ATTTGAGTGACCACGCTGAGGGGCTCTATCGTGAAGTCCACCTGCTCCTCCTCACCTTGCTTTCTATTGAGACTGCGAATGTCCCCTCTCGAGAGCCCCCTGTCATGGGTTTTGTGATCACAGGATCTTGACCTTTCAGGGCCATTTTCACTTTGCCGTCTCGCTTCCTAGTAGCGCTCGCATCTCAAAGCAGTGAGCCATAGAAAACTGCCAAAATTGCCCAAAACGTTGACAAGGCACTACGACACCCAATTTCTCGCTCTTCTCCCTGAAACTATTCGATCAATTGGCATGAAATATTGCCATTTAGAGCGCTTTATTAACCGATCACCCTTCTGAATAAAGCAGCATAGAGGCTTTTCCAACCCTTTGAACTCTTCAGAAGTATGGAATACAACTCAACAGAGTCAAAACTACTTTTGTCTGCACCGTTGCAATTTTGCATGGCTAAAGCCCTTTCCTTTCTACGTCACGAAGTCATCTTGCAAATCTTCAAAGATTCGATGTTTCGTAAAGACAACTAAACAAAGAAAAGCAAGAGTAGGCGGAGAGGCACTCGCGGGATCCGGGTACCACCAAGATGTTTTGCTGGCCATACCTGATTCCCCATCATGAGTTCTTTCTCTTCAGAGTATGCATCTTTTGTTTAAGAGCCCCGTTCATATGCGGTCTTGCCCATTTGGTGCGAACTCAAGGCTTGACGTAAATTTACATTGCTCCAAAGACCCCAGGCAAATGTTTGGTCCATGACAACACCCTTCCTCTGCTTGCCTCATAGACTTTGTTTGACAGCATTGCCGTGAATAATTTGGTAGGAAGCATACATACCTTACAGTGTCATCTGATTTAACACGTCTGCAACCGTATCGCGCTCCACAAATTTTAATCATCAACTTTCCCCTTTTCCGAACTACCTGAACCGTCCTTCAAGAGTTTCTATGCTATTCCGCATTTGATACTGCGGAATTTCTACGAGTATTCAAGTAAAGTGGCGATGGCAACCCCGACTGGCCCTTTCGTTCTGAGACCTGCAACACCAGCCTCAGTATTACCCGCGAAAAGAATGGACGATGAGCTTCAGATTTTAGCGGTCAACCCTGTGAAGAAGAGAAGGCTCAACAATTTTGGGGTTGCCCCTACACCTCAAGCTTTCGAACACAGCACATCGGCCGCTCCATCTCCACGAACTGCTCCGATGACCTCCGGCCCCAAGAGATCCGGCCCCAAAATAGAGCAGAGAATCAGTACTGCGGCAGCGGTGCTGTCCTCACAGCCTCCAGAACCGCCAACCGCTTGGTCTGCGACAAGGACCTTAGGACCCGGGTTTGGCAAGTTGAATAATCTTGACACTCTCTGGATCGCGCCAGCCAGCAGCCTTTGCGATTCTCCTCCTCTGTCGCCTAGACAATTGCCGCAAAGATTGTTGCCTGGTTCTACAAGCTCTCAATCGATTCGAAAATTCACAGTTCCAGTCAAGAGGGAGGGTTCCGATGGGCTTGGAAGCCATGCGTTCAGAACTGGAATGGAGGGTCACATGTCCGCAATGACCCCTCCTTATATTGCCGGAGCAGCTCCAGACCCAGCAGAAGATGCGATGATAGCCATTCTTGCCGAGACCACTGATTTAAAACCATATGATACAACTAAGGCGTGTGGTTTGAACGACTGGCTTCTTGAATTCCGGGACACTGAGTGTGGGCGGGACGGACTACGGCATGAGGTTCGCGTCCCGCCAACCCAGATTGTTGACCACGTGTCACACGTCAAGCGCAGTGGCAAGAAGAACTACCACAGTCAGTCCTCCATCAGTCTCGTGTACCAGTCTTCATCCCCTCAGCCATTGAGCCTCGCGTCTAGACTAGACTTCGGCCGCAGGATCAGCTTCCGTGAGCTCGACCGCCCCCCAAACAAACTGGAACAACCTTCGGTGGCGCCTCCAAACCCATCAACGAGCCATAATGCAACAACGAGTTCATACAATACTACTTCAATGAAAGATTACAAAGATGGGTCAAAAGCTCAGGGGACTTGCTTGAAATGCCTTCAAGCCAAGCTCCGGCAACGAGCAGCAGCAATTTCGGCGAACGAGATACACTCGTCTCTAGCACCGGGTGACTTTCCGACCTCGAGTCTGGCGCAACCAGCTTGGACACCGGGATTCAATATGGATAGCACAGCGAGTGGGAATATGATGCCGGCTGCACATGGTCAATTGATACCTTCGCAGTTCATTACCGGACTAGTGGGCTCCGCTCAACAATCTCAATTCCTTGGTCTTCTACCCCTCGGCCAGAACACGACCAGACCTACTCCGTTCTCTTCATCAACGGACGATACGCTCGGTCGCCGGAACTCACAGGTGCCGATCCATTCACCTCAGGCAACGACTAGTAGTAAACACTTGATTGTCGATATCGCAGACACATGCGCGGAAGTGTTTCCTTTTGAAGCTGTTGCCAAACGACACCACCAGCCCGTCCAGAAAGTCAGGGATGTCTTTAGCGCCATCATACAGGTACCACTGCTGCGCTGCCCAGCGGACAAACGGAGAGCGGGTAAGCTGGGCACAGCTCGATTAAAGGAGTACACTCAGGCCAAGAGGAGAATAGTTTCAGACAACGAAGGCCGAGGAGACAGGCACCGGAAGCTTGTTCAGGAAGACCAGTATTTTTCAGCTTGGGATGTTGCAAAGTTACTCGGCCCGACTGACGCACAGCCGGAGCACCATTTCGATTCCGCTGGTCCTTGGTAAGACGCCACCAATCGATAAAATTAACCTCGCGGTGTTATACGGAAGGTGAAGATGGAGACAAGACATGCAAAGTCTCAGGTGCGCCCTTCGTAGCCAATACGCACATAATCATTTAAAGTACTACATCGATTTCGCCCACAACACATCGTTTCCTTTACGAGTTTTGCAGAGTGTAGCATTCTTTGCGCGCACATAACGAGGTAGTTCCATCATGAGATGCTCCAGCCTCACCATCTCCTCCTGATTCCCTGTTCTTTTGGCATGGATGTATTGTGTCATAAGCAGCTCATGGCGACTTTCGTAGGAAAGCTTCGTCCAGTGTTTGAGGGCCTCTTGGTCGCATGGGGCGCATGTGTCGTTGATGCAGTTCTTCGTCACTGGTTGTTCTTTGCACCTCGATGTGTTTTTGCATATGCTGGTCGATTTGAGGACATGGCCGCAACCCATTGTGGTTTCGGTCGTTTGACACATCTCATACACACAAGTTTTCGCCTCTTCGTTTGTACGATGCTCTATCGACTCTGTTGGCGAAGATCTGCTGATTTATAGCTCTTCAGTATGTTGAGAATAGAATACAATAGACGTTGCAGGTTGTGCGTTTGGTGATTTCTTTGTCAGTGATGATGCGTTGGCTTTGATCATCCCCATTGAAATCACATTAATATGTATCATAAACATGACTGCTTTCAGAACAGCTGTCCTGAAAGTGTACTGACCGACATCAACATCCCGGCAATGATAGACTTTCTGGACTGAACTTCATGCGCAAGACGGAGATGAATTGCATTGCACACCCAGGTAGGACATGCATGTCCAATTAGTGGTTTTCGGTCTGTTTCGTCACGCCGATGTAGGCTGAACAACCCACGAAGCTAATGAAGTGAGATACAGCAACTACAACCGACAGAAAGAGAGAAGGCTCTCGACAATTCCACACATATAATGTCGAGGGGAGGGCAAGTTCTCAAGAGATGAGGCAAGATCAAGAGCCAAGATGGTCGGCCATTTCTTGGAGGGCCGCTATCACCTTGTTATCAGTCCAGAACAGGACTAGTGCGGGGTATGAATCGAGAAATTTCGTCTCCGCCAGGCTCGCCCAGCAACATCAACACGAATTCAACAACGGGCCACAGCTTCTCAGACAACAAATCACGCTATCGCCGACTTCGAGAACATCGGTCCGAGCCCAAAAATCCCAAGACAACTCCGAATAAGCATTTCCGATCAACAAAATGGGCAAGAAGAGGGAGAGAGACGAGCAGAACCCCGCCCATGACGGCGACAAGATGGATGAAGATGACTCTGAGGATGACGTACGTTCAGCTCCCTGACAAGCTCCGTTGGCTGTCAAGCGCTAACATATGGGTTGAGTTTGACGTTGTGAACGTCGACTTTGAGTGGTTCAACTTTGACGCCGACATCGACTTCCACGGCACCAAGGCTCTTCTCCGCCAGCTCTTCGACGTGGACGCCGTCAAGTTCAACATATCCGGCCTCGCAGACCTCGTCATTTCCCAGCCCACCATCGGCTCAACCGTCAAGGTCGACGACAAGGCGAACGATGCCTATGCCCTCATGACAGTTCTCAACATGCACGAGCACCGCGACAAGCCGGCGTTCGCCGACCTCACCAAGTACATCATCGAGAAGGCGCAGACGAACGAGGCGCTCGCACCCATCCCCCAATTGCTCACCAGCGGTGCTCAAGTCGGTCTCGTGCTTACGGAGCGTCTCATCAATATGCCGACCGAGATTGCGCCGCCCATGTACCGCATGCTCATCGACGAGATCGAGGCTGCCGTGGAGGACAAGGAGCCGTACGAGTTTACACATTATCTCGTCCTCTCCAAGACGTACCGCGAAGTCGAGCCAGAGGCCGAGCTGCGCACCGAGCGCAAGGGCAAGAAGCAGAAGGGTGAGGATGGCTCCATGTGGTACTTCCACCCGGAGGATGAGGTTACGGCCAAGCACGCTGTCGCTCACGGCGCCTACTCTTACTCCCACGAGAACGAGGGCTCGGCGGAGAGCAAGAGGGCGTTCCAGGAAATGGGCATCAAGCCGCAGGGTTACTTGATGCTCGTGGAGGCGAGCAAGTGGAAGGGGGCTGTGGATGCCGTAGAGCAGTATCTCAAGCCGCAATGAAAAAAGATCCACTCGTGGACCAGCAGCGCTTTGTTCGAATCTTTTTTTTTTCGCTTCACTTTGATTGCTTCTGTCTGTCTTTTGAACTCAGGGGCCTTGATCTGCATTAGTCCGTCTCCTCGAGCCGCTGCATCAGGTACTCCACTTCGACCTCCTTCGTCAGGGGTATCACAAAATTCTCATACATGGACACGACAGCGTCGACGTCAATCTTTGGCTTCACGTCCCCGATTATCGTCGCGTTGGACGGGTCTGTTCCGTACGTCGTGACCTTGAGTCGCAGCCTCTCGAGCACCTTCTTCTCCACCTCTGGCTTGGTGATGGCGTCCGCAATGCCCTTACGGTCCTCCGCCTTGATGAGCTTCACGAAACGCTCCCGCTCCGACACGAACTTGGACTCGGCGACGAACTTGCCAAAGTGGATGCGCCTCGACAGGGCCTGAAGGCACGCAATGTCGCAGGTGGCGCTCGAGCCGTAGTTCTCCTGCGACTCGCCGCGGTCCTCGCTGCGACCAAAGTCGGGGCACATGGCCGGCAGGAGAGAGTCGACATAGAACCGGCGGATCTTGTCGTTAACGTCGACATTGTTCGGGTGCAAGACCTTGGGGTAGTTGAGAGGCTTGAGGATGGGCTTCTGCACGACGTCTGGAAAGAAGGGGTATTCGTCAGGGGACTCGTAACGGCGGATGATGGATTGCAACCGCTCTTGCTCGCGCAGGTACCAGTCCACGAAGCTGAGCTCGCTGTCGGGGATGTTGAGGGCTCCAGGGATGTAGATGGACCTATTCAGAGCAAACTGAGCACGCTCGATGAGGTGATAGGTGATGGTGTCCTCGAGACGGCTAGCAGGGCTACGTGTTACCGACTGCGCAGGACAGAGACGGTGGGAGGGAGTTTCTCACATCAACTGGTACCGGATCCGGTTCAGGTCGAGAGCTTTGGAAGCATCGTTGAGGTCGATGAGAGAGTCCATCACGGCGGGAGCTGGAAAGTGCCAGGACATAAAACGCTGCAAGGACCTCACTGAGGAGCCGATCAGGTACACGCAGGTCAATTGAGGAGAGGGAGTCAACGTACGTGGCGTACCTCGTCAAAGCAAATGCGTCGAGTCAGAGTTTCGGGTGGAGCGGAGGGGCAGAAAGCGCCGCCGATGAAGCTCCGATGATAAAGGCGTGGGGTAGTATTCGTCGCAATCCCCTACTTGTACACCCAGCTGTCGCCAGCCGAAGAAGCCCAGCGCCTGAAGCTAAAATCGGTGAGCTTCGGTGACCGCCATTGCTTGGCTGCGGGGTTCCAGGGTGTGTCAGGGTGGAGCAGCGCGTGCTTGTACTTCGCATTCGATTGCTTGCATCGCCTCAGCCTCAGCCGTCACACACGCGCATCAAGTGAAGCTGGGTGGCCCGAGCTCCCAAGCCGGGCCTTTACCGATCTGCGGGCCTGGTGCAGTGGATTCGGCTTCGGCTTCGCGCGAAAGCAAGTTGAAGACAGCAAAACTCCCACCTAACACTCGCGCACACCACCACAAATTTGCTCGTCCTGTTCGCGACCCGTGGTCTGCTCCCCCCCTTCCTCCCGACGACCACGACACCCAGAGCACGGATGGCCGACGCCGATCACCAGTATGGCTACTATGACGAAACGGCCCCCGATGACGACCAGCCTATCGTCTCTGTAAGTATTGCCGCCATTGTGCTGCGCCTGTAGAGGCAAAGTTGCCGTTGTACTGCCAGCAGCGCATGCTGATCGATGGAAATCGCACAGACTCGTGGCCTTGAAGCTTTCGGACGCAAGGTCACAACGACAGCGAGCCATCTGATGGGGCCCCTCTCCGAGGCAGGGCCCGGCAACCCCCAATACCAGAGCGCCATGGCCGAGGTCCACAAACAGTTGAAGCGCCCGACAATGCAGCGCAGCATGTTCTCCATGGCCAGGACGACGCCGTCCGAGATGGTTCGGGCTAAGCTGTCCAAGACGGAGATTCAACATCGTGCCTTGACCTATCTTCCCGACGAGCTGCTTGTCAACATACCCGACAACGACAACTCGTACTCGCTCTTCCAGGGTTTCCAGGCCAGCTTTCCGGAGCTCACCGACGAGGGCAAAAAGCACAAGCGACGAGTATCGAGGGGCAGGAAGTTGATTGATGATGGCAAGGCCACCGCAGGCACACCGCAGTCATTACACAACCTGAAACAGGAAAAGTCCTCGATGATGCACGAGCTGGAAATGCTGAGCGTCCGCAAAAATATGGCCAGCAGCGAGATCAGGGAGATTGACATCAAAATCGCGAACCTGGGCGGCATGCGCAGAATCATCCTGGAGAGGCTGGCTGGGTTGGAGCAGGATGAAGCTATCCTGGAGCACGATCGTGAGCACACTCGACATCCCCTCGCTCGGATCGCCGTCATGCTAATTACAAAAAGTGATTGATGTGGAAGGTCGCCTCGAGGACGCGCAGCTACTCGTCGAGGAAGCTGAAACGATAGCCCAGCAAACACCGACCCGAGAAGAGCTGGATCTCGCGGGTGACCACGAGGACGATGGCTTTATGTCCCAATCTGTGTACGAGAAGATTCCTGCCTCCCCTAGCACGCCTTCCAAGTCGAAGAGGCCGAGAACGGTCCGACGAAAGTCCATGCCTATCCTCCACGAACACTTCGAGCCCGGCACCGCGATCCGGGAAATACGAGCACACCAGGACACCATCACAGCTCTCGACTTTGACGCCCCTTTCGGAACAATGGTCACGTCTGCTATGGATGATACTGTCAAGGTATGGGATCTGAACGCGGGCCGGTGCATCGGCATGCTCGAGGGCCACACTGCCTCGGTGCGCGCACTCCAAGTGGAGGACAACATTCTGGCCACGGGTTCTCGTGACGCCACCATCCGGCTGTGGGACCTGAGCAAGGCGCACTACGACCCACAGGGCGGCCAGTTCGGCAAAGGAGGCGAGGAGGACGATGATGGCATCGCCTTCGAGAACCCAGATGATCAGCCGGTAGACCCGCCCGAGGGCAGCATGGACGACTGTCACCTGTTCACGCTGCAGGCGCACGTCGACGAAATCACGGCGCTCCACTTCCGCGGCGACATCCTCGTGTCCGGCTCGGCTGACAAGACTCTACGACACTGGGACCTGGAAAAGGGACGCTGCATACAGACGCTGGACATTATGTGGGCGGCGACACAGGCCTCAGCTACAATGGGAGACGACGGTCCTTGGCGGCAGACGAGCCGCTCGGCATCGTCGTCGGCAGACTTTGTGGGCGCTGTGCAGGTATTCGAGTCGGCGCTGGCGTGCGGCACAGCAGACGGCATGGTGAGGCTTTGGGATCTGCGCAGCGGCACCGTCCACCGCAGCCTCGTTGGCCACACGGGCCCCGTGACGTGCCTACAATTCGACGACGTGCATCTGGTCACAGGCAGTGCGGACAGGAGTGTCAGAGTAAGTCTACTGTCACAGATGTTTGTATGAGAGTCGAGAATGTGCTGACGCATGGACAGATCTGGGACCTGCGGACTGGGTCAATCTCAGACGCTTACGCTTACGACCACGGTATCACGAGTATGATGTTTGACGCCCGCCGGATCGTGTCGGCGGCAGGCGAGGATGTTGTCAAGGTGTACGACAAGCTCGAGGGCCGGCAGTGGGAGTGCGGGGCGGGCATCGTCCAGGCGGAGGAAGGCAAATCGCCAGCAGTCGTGGAGCAGGTGCGCGTCCGTGACGGATACATGGTGGAAGGCCGGCAGGATGGCGTTGTAGGAGTATGGACATGTTGAGCGTAGAGCCTGGGAGGCCAGATGTGTACTACATACCTTGTAAAAGTACTTATAACTGAGTAACAAAAGATGCCGATGAACGGCCCAAGTGAGTCTTGTTACAGTGCACTGGCTGACGGTCCAACTCAACAAATTGACTTGCACGGTTTCCAGGGTTGACATTATGGATGCCCGAGCTCAATCTAGCAAGGCGTACGACAGGCGTGCGGTCGGTTACTCTGACATGCATTGCGCGAGACATAGGTGAGACATAGCTGTTGGACGGGACCTTGGCCGGGATGGCTGGCGGTCAAGATTTGCTGGATGCCTTGGTTCGGACGTGCTAGGCCGATAGCATCTTGGGATGTTCATCCTGGGATGAAGTCAGCTGTCGCAGTCCAGTGTTGCGACCATGTGGGCATCCGATGAAGATCAATAGAAAAGCACAGCCATGAATGGAGAAGAAGAGGCTTAGACTGTCGGTACTTCGGAGCAGGTGTCATGCTAAGCTTTGGAGCTTGGAGCAGCCAGCGCGCTGGACCTGCACGTGCCAAACAGTGGTCTCCCATGTTTCCATTGACACCCCCGCGCCTTCCACTCGGTGCACACTGCTGATGCCAGGGATCTTTCCACTTCCAACCAATCCAGGCGCCCCCAACACCTGCCCCCCCCGCCCTTTTAGCACCAACCGCTAACAGCCCCATTGTCCACTTTGGCCGCGACGGCGCTCTGCAACCGCCTGCCTACCCTGCCTGGGGGGGGGGACCTACCAGCCTCACCTTGCGACCGTCCAGAACCTGTTCCACCTGGCACCTTTCCTCGCCTTGCATCTTCCCATGCATGTCGACTGGATTTTGCCTTGCGTGTTCTCCCAGAGACCTTCACCTGTTTCTCCTTCAGCATACCTACAGTATCTTGATTCAAGCGTCACCGAACGCGCAGCATCCATCACATAATTGCTTTATGCTCACTCTACTTGTGTCTGACTCAGGCATTATCCTGCCCTTGCCTACCTTACAGTTACTGGCCTGGACTCAAGATACCAGGTGACTACAATCGAGAGGACAACCATCAGTTCCCGTTGCCACTCGACCCCGATCCTTTCCAGCGCCGGGACCCGTTGTCGTCATGGCCTCGGCGGCGACGTCGCAATGCCATGAAGGGCCGTTCCCTGGCAAGGAGCCTCCTGGGTTTCTTGATCTGCCCATTGAGGCCCAGAATCTCATCTTTAATCATGTAAGGCGCCGTGCTGCACCCACACACCCAGCCTCGGCTGGGTCCGCCGCCGACCGTGGTTAACATGTCATGCGCAGTGCTCGCAAGCCGACCTCATCTGCCTCGCCCTTGTGTCGAAGCATTTTCGAGACCTCGCTGCCGCCCAACTCTACCGCATTTTCCACATTGTATTTCCAGACGAAGAGGACCCCGCGTCCGACTCGCCTATCGACAGCCTCGCTGGTGGGCTGGATACCTTTGTCACCAGTGATTACAACTACGCCAGGTGGCTGCGCGATATCTCCCTCGACACCCTCAGCGCGGGTGAAAAGGCCGAAAGCGCCTACAAACCATACTTGTACAGCACAAGCTGCGGCAAGTTCCTCAACACCTTGCTCCTAATCACACTGCGCAAGGCCAAGTCTTTGGAGAGATTCCAATGGAACATCCGAGTCGAGCTCAGCCGTCCCGTCTACCAGGCGCTTCACCAGATCACCACATTGAAGCACCTGCACCTACGACTCCAAGCCGGACCCTCACTCTTTGAGCCGCCCCCTCCCCTTCCATACCCGATCCCCACTGCTCCTCAACCAAACCCTCCCATCAACGACTGGCACCCCATCACCATCAGCCTCCCTCTGCCACCACCGCCTCCGATCGGTCTCGGGACCGGCCTCGTCAGCTTGCCGTACGCCTCCACACCCGTGCTCCCCCCGCCAATGCCACCAGCACCCAAGGCCCATGCACCCAAGGCTAAGCGTAAACCTCTGCCAGCGAACGAACCTGCCACACTTGCTGGCTTCAAAAAGCTCAGGTCACTCGCCGTTCTCGACATTGATAATCTGGAACTGGTTTCGGAGATCAAAAAGTGTGTGCAGAGCTCCTACTTGACGCTCAACAAGCTCAAGCTCTCCCTCTCTCCCAGCCTAGCCATTCAATCTCGGAAACCGAACCCCAATCTTGATCACGATGAGGACGATCCTGATGACGAATTCC